CCGGAGGTGACCACATGGTGCGGCAGACCTCTCCTGGCCCGCCCGCTGCTCCCCTCAGCAGTGTACTTCGTCCATCTGCCTGTTCTGCTCCCCACTCTGTCTCTGGTGAAGCCTCTCGCCACCCCTGAGCCTCTGGCCTATACCCCAGTTCTGTATGTACAAATAAGTAAATCTTTAAAAATATATATATATATATATATGCTGCCTGTGTATAATTAAAGAACACTGGATTTGGTTGGAATGTAATTTCAAATCTGAATTCTTACTTTCACCTTTACTTTGATACTAAGAAAATTATAGTATCCCGGGTTTCACCTTTACTTTGATACTAAGAAAATTATAGTATCCCGGGTCTCAAATGTCCATTTGTGAAATAAAACCAGCAACAGCTTTTTGGACATTGATATCAAAAGAGGGAATATTTGGTCTATCAATAATATTTTGCCATGAATTACTAAATAATTCATTCTGACAAGAATTAATTCCAATAATGGTATCTCACAATATGGTAGACACACTGAACAAAAATTCAAAGGTCAAAATTATAATAAGAGCTGATAGGTACTAAGCTAAATGGAAAAAGAGCACACTGACTGAGGCAGAACTAAAGAAACAGTAAAAAGTGGCATACATTTTATGATTGATGACTCTTTACTATTAAAATAATAGAAAAATAATGGAATTTATGGAAAATGTCTTATTTAATCATAAAGGCTATTTAAATTAAATTATATCCCACTGAAGTAGCTATCATCTGTGTCCACATAAGCATTACATATGAAACTAACTCATTTCAAATTTAGGTCCTATTCTCAAGTGTCCATATTTCTCCACCAAAAGTTTAATGCTTTATTTTCCTGTGTTTAATAATCCAAACAGCACTAGCAATTCTGAATCATCTGAATCCAATTGTTAAGTGATGTAATTAAATGACCCTGTTTGCATTTATGGTCACACTAGCTCCGAGATGAAACAACATTATTTTAATTAAGACAGGCTAAAGAGAAAAGCAGAGGGGGTCCTAACACATAAATTTTGCATCTGTGTGAAGCAAAGTACAATGACATCATGGTTTTCTTTGAAGCACTTACATACTGGTGAGAAAATACATCACGTGATAAAAGGGCAAGTATGCAACCTGCACAGTTAGCAGTCAGTTCCATGACCTTACTGTTGGAAAACTTCATTTTAGCAACAGTATCCATTACTATAGAAAAATCAGTATTTATTTGAATTTCACTGGCTTTAGTTAATTGTATTCCATTTGCGAGTTCTGAATCTCACCTCAGAGTAGATCACCGACTTTGCACAATCTTGGTTTCCTACCTCACTGGTTACTCCTCAGCTTCCTTTTTTTTGACTTCCTGCTTTCCTCCCCAAACTTGCAAATTTGTAAGCTGTTCAGGTGCTCTTCCTCAACTTTGGTAATGTCAGTCTGTTTTGTAATTTTAAATTCAATATATCAAGAATTTCAAAATTTTTATCTCCACCTCAGATTAAAAACAATACCCCCAAAACCCTCCAAGTTTTGTTCTTAAACACCAGATTTGTGCATCCAACTACCTCCCACATATGGGGTTAGGGGGATAAAGCTTAACCCCTATGTTCCAATACTAGGTTATGATGCTTGAGTTTTTAAAATACTTTCTCCTGGATGGTCACACACTGTCATTTCCACCCCGTCATTTCTCGTATGTTACCTTCTCAATGAGCTGTACCCTCACCCCCTCCATTTAAAAGTAACCAGCACTCTGTCCACTGCCCCCTTCATTGTCCACTCCTAATCCTTGCCCATTCCACTTTTCCTCTTATCAACCCTCCTACCCAACACCACTTAACATCATATACAGTTACTATTTATTGTTGTAGCCTGGCCCCCAAAGTGGAAGGGAGGAATTTTTATCTGGCTCAATGAGATATCCCAAACACTTATAACAGTGCCTGGCACAAAACTCAAAGCTGTTGGATCGATAAATAACAACAAAATAGCTTTGGACTTTTGAACAATAACACCCAAAGCTAGATACAACAGAACAAGCTTTTCAAAATACTCAAAGGATTACCACCCTAGAATTCAATATATCCAATTTATCCTCAAAACAAGTATTGAGGTCAGAAAAATGGTGCAAAGTTTCAAAACTTTACCCTCCCTGGACATATTTTCTCAGGAAGTTCCTGAAGGACAAACTCTTCAAATACAATGGAATGAACCAACAAAACGGACAGCATGAGCTACCAAAAACAGAAGACTTAATCCAGAAGAAAAGATGAAGGGAATACTGAGGTAATGACAGCTTCACAGTAAAGGAAGAAAATAAAGTGAGGCACCCGAGCAATTTGAACATCAAGATAAATGGCACAGAATAAGGGATAGCATTAGTAGTAAACACGAAGGGGAGGCAAAGACAAAAAAACAGCAAACAAAGAAAGCCGATAAGTAGTGCAGTTAGAGTATCAGTCATTTACTATATTGCTCAAACTAAATTTAAGACAGCTAAGTAATGAGCACACAAAACTGATGTGAGGAGTGTGGAAATGGGATGTGCCCAGGTGGTAGGGCCCCAACCAGTTACATCCACAAGAACAACAGATAAGGAAATCGGGAGGGGAGGGGCAGAATTTTTCTCTAACAAGTTTTATAGGATATTTGATTTTAAACTGTATGTGCATTAAGAGTCAAAGGTTATAGAAAAAGAGGCTAAACTGTATGTGCATTAAGAGTCAAAGGTTATACAAAAAGAGGCTAAGGTTCAAAAACTTAGAATGAGAGACACCAATATGCATGAATGAGTTAAAAATGTGTGTTCAGAAACAGTGGGGGGAGGGAAATGCACTGGACTATGGTGATGGTGCATGGGTGAGCTGGTGATGGGAAACCCACGGGGGATTACAACTGAGATGGCAAATTGCACAAAATTATATGAAAATAAACTGTATTATTTATTTTTAATAAATGTGTGTTCAATGATTTGATTCTAAGTATCAGCAAAGATGTGGAGAAAATCTTCCTACACTATTAGAAATGTCCACTGTGAACTAGTAAGATCTAGCAGTTTGTTTCAATCCAGTAATTCTTCTAAAAGCTCATCCTTAACACACAAGCTCCAGAGCAATCCTATTTATAATGACAATCTTAAAAACAGCCCTATCTTAAGAGTGGTTAAATTATGGTCTATAGAACAGAATACTATAAACTCCCTTAAAAATAAACAAGTGGACTCATCTCTACTGTATACAAGAATAAGACTGCTCAAGTGATTAGAGTAAAAAGAAGCTACAGAACAGGCACACTACAACTCCATTTATGTTAAAATAAAGTTACTTGGGTATGCATAGTGAAGCTATCCATTTTAATGTATGTGTATTCAATGTAATGGAACAAAAAAGTAACTGGAAGGGCATACAAACTGCATGCTGTGGTTTAATGGCTTACTGTGAGGGAGTAGACAAGTGTAAGTCAAAGTTAGAACCAAAACTGCAGAAAACACACCGCTGAACTATGTAAGTATACAAAATATCAAGTATTACAGAATAGACTGTAAGCACAAATGTTATTTGGTTGAAAATGTTTAGTCACTGACAATAGGTAATCCTTTAATAGGGAAATAACTGTAAGGATTCAAATAAGACAAAAAAACAAATTATAAAATATTTATGGCTGACTTAAAACACTCAAATTTCATACATGTATTCTAATAATACTTCTTTTTAAAATCTTAAATTTTTCATTTTAAAAGTACAGGACAAAATGTTCTTATCATTTATCTTAACAGATTTAGATGGTGGCCCCCTCTTTTTGGCCCCCTTTTGGTAACCAAAAGGATATAGTTTGCAGAAATTAACTCACAACTATCTTTACTAACAAGATATGAAGTTGTTATAGCAATGCTAAATCAGGATCCTTGACCCAAAAAAAGCTGCATTCAAATAAGCAAAAGGCAAAACACAGAAGGGGGCTTGGGTAAACAAGCCTTAACAATCAGGATTACTTTATTTATACAAACCAATTATTGAAGAAATTTGCCCAAGGTGATACCTTTACAAAGAAGCTAGAAAATAATTTCACTATACCATCCACACCATAGCTTAACCCTGTCCATAGCTTAAGGATAACAAGCATAGTATAAGCCTTCCAATAAAAGTTAACACTAGCATTCATTTTAATTTTTTAAGCATTTTCCACAAACAATATGTCCTTTATAAATATTTTTTTCTCCAAAAGTCTTCCTCCTACTTTCTCCTTCTAGTTCCTTCCATATGTATTCCCAAAATCCCTGCTATTCAAAGCAAACAAAAACCACAAGTTCATCTTGATTGGGCAACCTCAAGTCTCAGGAATAATGTCTGCCAACATCATTCTGGTTATTGTGGCCCAAGCCTAGAGTAACTGACCCTAACGGACCATCTATCTCATCTGTATCATTTCAGCATAGAATTCTGAAGATTTGTTGTACAAAAATCAAAGGGAAAACAATAGAAGACATGGTTCTTTAGCTAGCAAGTACCAGGCAGAGGTCGAACGGAAAAGACATACTGCACTGTTCCATTCACATGAAACTCAGAAACAGGCAAAAATCAATCATCGGTGTTTCAAATCAAAAGTTGGTTTTCTTGGGAAGTAGGTGGGACGTAAGTGGTGAAAGCTTCTGGTTTAGGAATGTCCCATTTCTTGATCTGAAATGTCCCATTTCTTGGTTACAGAAGTCTCTCTGAGAATTTATCAACCCATAAGCTTTAATATGAGCATTTTCTGTACTTATGCTCTACTTCAAGAAAAGCTTGTATTTAGAAAAATGCACAACTACTTCTCTAGATTCTCCTAGAATCTGGTATCATCGCCCCTTCACAACACCTGTCTCTTTCCCTCTGCTCATTTCTGTCTCTCGCTATACCTTTAATAGATCAACAGTATAGTATTCACTAACTATAAATATTCTCAACTTAAACTTCCTTTTGAAATTTCCTTTTAAAAATTCCACAGAAGTCAAATGCTGACTTACCACCTCTTTTGCTCCCATTAGAATAAAAATGATCTTCCATTTTGGCCCGGTTTCTTCTCCACTTGTCCTGACTGATGGCTCCCTTTCAGTACCAAATCAAATCCCTCCAACATCCCAGCATCTGGCTTCTGTGGCAACCCTCCCCCTTCCTAAGCTACCTCACTGTCCCATTGTGGCTGCCTCATAGATACCTCAAATACAACATACCAGAATTTTTAATTTTACTGCTATCCTTGTGTGCCCAACTCCCCAAAGTCTCTATTTTAAACAGCATCATGAGCCACACAGTTGCTCAAACCAGAAACCACCTAATTCCTTCTTTCTCTCGCCCCTCAGTATCTAATCCATCAGCGAGTTCTGATAATTCTGTGTCCAAAATAGGTCTCACACCCATCCAATTTCTTTTTTATCTTTACTACCACGGCTTAAACCAGGTCATAGTCAACTATTGCCTGATCAAAGCAAAGACCTTCTAAACCAATCAATACCCAAAGAGCTCAAGAAATCTTAAAAAAGTGTTACACCTTTAGTTCAAACCATTTGATGGCTTCTCAGTACCCTTAAAATAAAATTCACATTCCTTACTCTGACTTTGCAGGAACTGGTCCTTGTCTATTTCGCCCCCTCACCCATTTTGCTCCAGGGACACTTCTCTGGGCTCCTTCAACAATCTATGTTCATTCCTCCCTCAGCCTTTCTTTACCTTGCTACTCCTTCTCCAACCTGAGATCTTCTCCCTTCCCTGCTTCAAATGGCTAGCACCTCATATTTTTGTCAGAGCTTAAATGTCATCACGTCCAACAGGTTTCCTCCCACACCATTCTCTACTACTGCAGTTGGATTCCCTTTTTGTTTTTTAAGATTTATTTATTTACGCACACAAGAACTAGGATACTGATCATGGTGCAGGGGGTGAGAGGATTCACCAGAGACAGAGTGGGGAGCAGAACAATCAGATGTACTGAAATACACTGTTGAGGGGAGCAGTGGTCTGCTGTGCACTGTAGGTCAGCTCCCTGGCTGCAATAATTGCAGACAGCTTCACTGTGCTGGGCTTTAACCCACTGCGCCACAAGGTAGGGCCCTGAATTCCTTTTTGACCAGTTTGTAATTCTGTTTATTTCCCTCACTAGAATGTAAGTGACAATATTAAGAAAAACTAAGTAAGCTATTCAACACTTAAGAATTTTCTTTGAACTAGAAAGTATGACTTTAGATACAAAGGTTAAAAAAGTGTCCCTGCTCTCATGGATCTAAGAAGTCACAAACACAACTAATAAGCCAGCAGCCAGGTCTGACTAACTAATCACACTGCCAACTCTAACACCCCCCCACTCCTCGCACTATGCTTAATAGTTGCTCGTGTGATAACAGAAACTAAGAAGGCTTGGACACGTAATCTGTGCAAAGTACTACAAAGATATTTGAGAGATTAAATACAATATAGAGGTGTCAAAATAGAATGTTCAAGGAGAAAGACATATATCCATTCCCAGCTAAATTATTTCAAATTGCACATTCTTTCAATCTTATCAAGTTATTTTTCTAAATTAAAATCTGCTTGTGGGGCCCTTCCTGGTGGCGCACGGGTTAAAGCACGGCACTAAGAAGCTAAAGCCCCTTCAGCCTGAGTTCAATCCCAGCCCAGGAGGTGATCCACAGGGCACTGCAGACCTCTCCTGGCTCACCCGCTGCTCCCCTCAGCAGTGTACTTCATCAGTCAGCCTGTTCTGCTCCCCACTCTGTCTCTGATGAATCCTCTCTCACCATCCCTGCATCTATGGCCTGTACCCCAGCTCTGTATGCATAAATAAATCTTAAAAAAAAAATCTGAAATTGTTGTCTTAAAATTTTATTTTACTAGTAGTATTAAATTAGTATTCCTGGCCCTCCCTGGTGGCGCAGCGGGTTAAAGCACAGCACTGAGAAGCTAAAGCCACTTCCGCATGAGTTCGATTCCCGCCTGCCCCGGAGGAGACCACATGGCGCTGCAGACCTCTCCTGACCCTCCTGACCCGCCCGCTGCTCCCCTCAGCAGTGTACTTCGTCGATCTGCCTGTTCTGCTCCCCACTCTGTCTCTAGTGAAGCCTCTCACCGCCCCTGAGCCTCTGGCCTGTACCCCAGTTCTGTATGCACAAATTAATAAATAGTAACTTTTTTAAAATTATAACTCTGTAATATATATTGCTGGATTTTGTACAGCCATCCAATCCTGCAATGATCTTTTGTATGGCTTTCACTATTAAGAATTTACCTATTTAAACTGCTAATAAATTCAACATGTAACTCTACAAAACAAAAAAAGAAAAGAATCCAGCTTGACTAAGTAGGCAGAGAGGAAATGCTGGAGATAAGACTAGAAAAGCAGGTAGACATTAAATAAGTATTTAATGAACACCTAGGTGCCAGAAACAGTACTAACTCTAATCAAATAAGGATCATCAAGACAAAGTCCTCAAAGACTGTCTGAGGGTAGCATAGTAGTACAGAAAAATTAGAGTTGAAGGGGATACAAATTACCAGCAGCCAAGAAGAAAAGAGGTTGACAACCAGTCAAAGTCCAGGAGTCCAGGGAAAGCGTCTTGGCTACATGATGTATAGGCTAAGGTTATCGTTAAGTAGGAAGAGAACCAAAATATGGTGCACAGAGGCACATGCAAGCACATGGCTGGAAATGGCCTGGAAGTAGAAAGTCAGATAAGGGAGGGATATATAGATGATGTGTGTGTGTGTGTGTGTGTGTGTATGATGTTTTCTAAACAGTGTACACTGAAAATACTCTTCATAGTTACCAGAAATATTCCCTTTGTAATTCCAATTAATTTTAGATTATGATAATCTTTTTAATCACAAATATTAAAAACTCTCTATATATATGTATATATACATACATATACTTACTAACCATATCAAGGAATGAGGGATTTATGCTGAAATTCTTGTAGATCAGGTTCACCTGTTAGAAAGTTCCATTAAACTGCGGGAGCAAAAACTAACAGGAGGGAGAGATCAAAAGCATACAGACCACTGAGAAGGCAGAACAGAAAAGTAAAAATGAAAATGTTTGTGAGGGAAGAGAGAGAGAGAGAAGCAATACCAGATTTGAAAGAATAGAAAAATCAAGCCTTGACTATTAACTGGGTGTAGAAGGTGAAAGTTCTGGATAGCTGGAAACAACAAACGTTTCAGTTTTGGGCAAATAAAGTTAAACATAAAGTAGAGAAAGACCTAGAGGAAAGACACTGCTAAGAAAAGATAAAACATGGACTGAGAGAATTTTGCAAAAGACGTAACTGATAGAAAAAGAGTGTTTTTCAAAATGTAAAAAGGAATCTTAAAAACAAAACAGCTGACTTAAAAAGGGCAAAAGACCTCAAGAGACACCTCACTAAAAACATACAGGTAGCAAAAGAGCATATAAAAAGTGCTTCACACATCACATACCGTAAGGAAACTGCAAATTAAAAATGAGTACCACTACACAGCTACCAGAAAGGTCAAAATCCAGAACACCAAATGCTAAAGGGGGTGTGGAGCAACAGACACTCATCCATTGCTGGTTGGACTATAAAACAGTGCACCAGTTTGGCAGTGTCTTACAAAACTAAACATAATCTTACCATATGATCAGGTGATCATGCTCCTCAGTATTTACCCAAAAGAGCTGACTACTTCTGTCCACAGCAGCTTTATTCAGAATAGTCAGATCATAGAAACAACCAAGATGTGTTTGGTAGGAGAAAAAATAAACAAACTAGCACATTCAGACAATGGCTAAAAAAGAATAGAGGATCAAGTCATGAAAAGGCATGGAGGAGCTTTACATGCATGGACTATGTGAGAGAAACCCATCTGAAAAGGCAAGACTATAATTCAACTAAATGACATTCTAGAAAAGGTAGGTAACTAAAGAGAGTAAGAAAATCAATGTTTGCCAGGATTTAGGGAGAAAGATAGGGCAAATATGTGGATAACAGTTTTTTTCAGGCAGTAAAACTGTTTGGTGACTTATTATACATTTGTCAAAATATACAACACACCAAGAGTGAACCATAATGTAAGCTAGGGGCATTGAGTGATGATATATCAATGTAGGTTTATCAGGTGTAACAAAAGACCAACTCTGATGGGGGAGATGTTAATAAAAAGGGAGGCTATGCATATGGAAAAATCTCTGTACCTTCTCAGTCTTGCTCTGGAACTATATCTGCTTTAGAAAATTCCAAAGTGTTTAAAAACACATAACCCACAGGCAAGAAAACATATAGATCTAGATTTCAGCAAGCAGGAGCTGAGTGTCATCAACATACAGGTAACAGTCAAGAAACAAGTACTGAGTGTTAACAGATGAGGGTACGGGAAGAAAAAAACCCATTCCTGGCTTTATGCAGATCTTCTAGTAACTACAGCCATAGAAAACCAGTAATTTAAAGTGCCTTAGAAGAAATGCTACCATTAAGGATACTTATAAAGCGGAAAAACCTGCCCGAGTTCTTCTTGTTGGAGAGGATGGGGTAGACGCTGAGGTTTTCACATAGTGGCTTTGTTTGAGGTGAGGTCAGTACCAAAAATAACCAAAATTTAAAATATTTTACAAGGTGTGTACAGAAATTTCATAACTGTAACCAAGCTGGAACAGATCTCTTTATGCAAAGAAAAGCCTTCAATCCTTACAAACTGTGTAAATCAACTACATTAATATATACTTCAAGTGGTCACTTGGCAAAGTCACATCAATCTTACTGTTACCTTTATTATGTAAGATGGTTTCTAAACAGTCTACAGTGAAAATAAAGTCCTATTCTTCCTATCATTGTTACCAAAGCTAAATATTCTCTTTGTAATTCCAATTTAGACTAATTATAATAATCTTTTTAATCGCAATTATTAAATATTGGTGTTCCCTGATGTTGTAAGAACTTCCCAAATCTTAAACAGATACTAAGCTAAATTTAATTGTTTCTGAATTTGTAGCTTGCGGGATACTTATCCCAAAGGTTCCCTATCTATTAATTATACTACTTTTCTGTTTAAAAGCATAAATGTTACTTTTTAAAAGTCTCCAGCTTTAATTTCCAGGATGAAAAAATAAACGAGCAATTTACAATAGTTCATTTTCAGTCTCAAACATTTGTCAAAAGTTCTCTTAACTGCTAAGCAAAAGCCACAATTGGAGCGAATATCTCCCAGATAAAATATTATCAGACCATTCCATTTACACCACTATACTTTGCTCTTCGGTCATGTCTACAGAGATAGTGCTAACACCATACACTCAAAGGGACTCCCCGTTTCACTTTTCCAAGCTAGTCAAGTACCTGGAAGTAAAAAAACGATCCAAAAATGCAGTGCTAAAAGAACCCCCTTTGAATCTAGTTGATTTTGTCAACCTCAGACCACTCATGACCCATTCAAACAGCTTACTGTCGACATGTCTAAATGGCATCTGCTCAGATACTCTTATCTGACAAAATGCACTGAGAGAAAAACACAAGCACCAA